TGCAATTTTACTCCATTCTTTTTTGGAAAACTGCTCAAGCTCTGCCAGGTTGAATGGGGATCAGATGTGAACAGCCCTTTTCAAGTCCAGCCACAAATTGGGGCAAAAGGACCAGACAGCATCCCTGGGAGGGCCTCAGGGCATGTGCCAGCGAACTGGCTGATGTTCTCATCACCATCTTCAACCTCTCTTATATTGTGTTCTTGTTGTATTTTTTATTTGCTTCTTACTGCCTGTTTAGATGTGTTATTGCTAATCTACTTTATATTTCACTTGTATTGTGTGGCATTCATGTAGACGGCAAAGTAAGAATTTCATTGTACAGGGAGGGGTGAATATTTATGCAATCACTTATTTCCCCTTTACATATTTTTATTTAATTGACATTACTTTATAGAAACCTGTTTTCACTTTGACATTAAAGAGGTTTTATTTGTTTTGTTTTTTCAAAAAAGCCAAATTATATTGACCATCATTGATTTATATACATAATAAAAAGGTAAACCATCCAAGGGGGTGAATAATTTTTATAGGCACTGTATATACACAAAACCAGGCGCTGTCGAAAAATTCCGCTTTTTTGGCACAGATGGATGTCAGTCAAACTCACATGAATGGGCCTGGTGATTATGACCATTCAAGGAAATCCTTAAATTTTCACATAAGACTTAACATATTAGAAAAAAGGTCTCTTGAGCAAAAGTTTACAAGATTTCTATAAACTGAGTTGCTTCTGCATAGAAGTACTATAATATATGTACACCTCATTTTTTTGAGATTTAGATCAAGGGCTGTGTACATGAGGTACAATATTAGGTGTAACACTGTGTTGCAACTAACCCTGCTTATGTATAGAATGACAAGAAGTTATTTATTTGCAAATAATCCATATTTTGCTGACCTGTGATGTTATTTTTATTTGCTGTCCTAACTTGTGGACAACACACAGTCCCATGTTACTTGTTGCTTGATATACCATAGAACTATACAGTACTGAATTATTGTTTTCACCAAGTTTTCAGACTTTTCTAGCCAGTGTTATAACACTGTCTGTTACAATTAACCTCACCCATAGGGTAAGATGTAACATTGTGTCTCCCATCATTGTCAGTGGAGTTGTACAAGAATGGTAGAACAAAGTACAAGTGTTCATTTGTAAAAGAGATGTATATGTTGCTTGTGTAAAAACATGATTGTTCCAACTCAATTTTTTTTTTAAATTTTTCTCAAAAACCAAAATGTGTTAGGTTGTACCCCATGCTCCCCTAGTGAAACTACTAGTTTAAACTAGTTAAATGTAGTTCAGTCCTCCCCAACACTGGCTGTGACATGATATGATTTCTTTGTTTCCTACAGCTGTCCGATCTGACTACCGGTGCATCAGAGGAGGACAGTGTGATCTTGGTTAATTTGTGTTCTCGGGATGAAAACCCTGAGCATTACATACTAAACAGCTTACTGCTGTGTATATGTATGTGTGTGTGTGCCTTTGTATTACTTACATCATGAGGACTGAAACCTGTTAACACACTCATACTGTGGGGACTCGGCCATCCTTGTGGGGACCAGAAGCTAGTCCCCACAAGGAAATCACTGAATTTTAGGGTGGCAACATGGTTTAGAGTTAGGATGAGGTTAGGTGTTAGGCAAGTGTTAGGGTCACGGTTAGGTGTTAGGCAAGTAGTGGTTATGGTTAAGGTTAGGAAAAGTCTACCGGAAATGAATGTAAATCAATGTAAGGTCCCCACAAGGAATGAAAACACAGTGTGTGTGTGTGTGTGTGTGTGTGTGTGTGTGTGTGTGTGTGTGTCAGAGAGTTGAAATTGGTGGAAGGTGACCAACAGGCCCTCTCCCTTTCCCCCCTCGCCAACAGGATGTTGCCCCCTCTTTTGTCCACTTCTTTTCTGTAGCTTATTTTAAAATCGTGGCACAGGGTAAATCACACATACACAAAGATCACAATGAAAATTGTGCAGGTAAATTTGTGGTGTGAAATTACTATAAAAGCTCAGTTATAAGTGAAGAATTTGCTGTAAATAGAGACAGTTTATAGGCAGACAGAGATTCTGAATCCATCAACACCAGTGTAAGATAGTGTTTTTACATGAACTGAAATCATTAGAGCTTGGAATTAGACAAATGTTTTGATGTAGGTGTAAATGAAACTGTGTAACTTTTGCTGAATAGCGGTCGCCATAACCACATGTGACAAGTAGCACAAATAGAGACAAATCCAAAGGCCAGCAAGCTTACTCAGTATTGTTGGTTTCAATATACTGTAGCTAATATTAGCCACCAAAAGCTAATGGTCATTCTGGAGCAGGTAGCAGCAAAGGCCCTATGTGTATTCAGCTGAGCACAGGTGAGTTAATTTCTTATGATTCCCCCTTTTCATTTGTAACCGTTCCATCATCTCAGTAGGGTAAAAAGGCTGGTTTTGTGGGCTCAGGATTAGATGTAAATCATCATATTATTAAACAGCATCTGAAACCCCATTCCTCCACACTGTTTTAGCCCCTTTTCCACTGCCTGGCACTGCCTGGCACTGGCTCAACTTTGGCAATACCAAATGGTGATGAGTAAACACTGTAGTCTAGTGACTGGTCAGAAAAATCGTGTCATCAATGTGTGAGACGTCCCGGAATAAAGAAAGCTCAATTTTTAAAAGCAACGTTATTTAAAGTCCCCATGGCATGCTTCTTCCAGCCATTTAATGTTTAATCTTGGGTACCTCTAGATTATCTTGGCACCCCTCATAACTCCAAATAGTCTATAATTTTTTTCAGAATAATAAAACCAAAAAGCTTCTTCCTAAAAAATGAGAGGATAATTCATGAATGCACACAACATGCACAGGTGAAAAAAAAGATTTGTAACACTGTAAATAAAAGGGGTAGTAGAGAAATCCCATATTTTAACTGGCATAATGCAGACATAGTAACTTCTTTCATCTTTACAATTTTCTCTAACCTTACAGAAATAAGGTATTAACAGACACGCAACATGTTAAGTCCCACCAAGTAGTGGAAACATCACTCCCTTTCATGTAGCTCCACAGGTCACTACATCCAACTGGTGGTTGCTGCGTCTTCACCCACACTACCACATAAAGTCCCAAAGCAGTGAAATTCATTCCAACAGGTAGCGTAGCTCTGACATTAACATCATGGGTCATTAATCCACTTCTTAACCAGTCAGGTAGAACAGTGAGTCCCTGTACAGGGAAATTTCCGGACATGCAGTAACCTCAGAATCTGTATATTTCTCCACATCCTCTGGTCGCAGTGCAGGCATCAGGAGGTAAATTATATCCACAAATCCGCACGCCATCGAAAAAATTCAGTTTTTACAATGGTAAATGGTCTAATACTTGTATAACGCTTTTCTATGCAATGCAGCACACTCAAAGCGCTTTCACACTATTTAGCCATTCACCCATCCGCACTCACAAATTCACACACCGGTGTCATCACTGGGAGCAACTGGGGGTTCATTGTCCTGCTCTAGGACACTGGGACATGTGGACTGGAATTGAACCGCTAATCCTCCAGTCTTCCTGTCTGTTCTGTCCTTCTGGAGGATTCTTGGAAGACCTCCTGAGCCACAGCCACCCCCAAAAGCCGCCATGGACGTGTATGGTTTTTAATAAGTTTTATTGAAAACATACATAACAAAAAAAAAGGCAGTATAACATTTTGCCAATATGGTGGGGTCACCAGTGGATGTCAGGTAAGCTCACGTGAACGCACAATGGCCTGGATTTTATGCCCATTCAAGGAGATCCTTAAACTATCATTAATACTTTATTTTGGTAGAAAAAAAGTCTTGTGTGCGAGAGTTTGCAAGACGTGTATAAACTGAGTTACTTCTGCATAGAAATACTAGAACATATGTACACCTCACGTCTAAGATGATAATTTGCCATTGTAACATGGTTGATAAGTCAGAAAACAAGGAAAAGCATGCCATGGGCCCTTTAACACTAACTACTTCTTTACTATAGTTACTGTACTAACTAAAAACAGCCACATACCTAGAATCAAGAACAGTATACTTTTGATGTCCTCGACTGTTACAGTGGAGGTTGGTAATGATAATCACTTTTATTGGCCATGTATGTTACACTCACAAGGTATTTGTCTCTGGTACAGATCCGAGGCAGCCATCTGCGGCGCCAACTCTCTTTCTTACACATACACCTATGGCTGTGTGTCTCTGCAAGGCACTGCTCTGGCCATCGGGAGCAACTTGGGGTTCAGTGTCTTGCCCAAAGACACTTCGACATGTCGACTTGGGAGAATGGGAATCGAACTGCTGATCTTTCAGTTAGGGGACAACCAATCTACCTCCTGGCCACCCCATGTGACAATATCACAGCAGTATAATACGGTGTCTCTGTGACAACCAGCTATACTGATAGGGAACCATCTGCAGTGAAAAACCAAGCACCCAGTACCAAAAGCAAGTAGAGCTGTGTTGAGCTGTGTTGAGCTGAGTTGAGCCAGTACCAGGCAATGGAAAAGTGGCTTTTGATGCAGGAACTGGGGGGCTGCATCTGAAAATTGACAGCCCCACAATCACACCCACTTTTGAACTTTTCTCCAAAGCTTCTTTCTTATTCCTCCCACAACTATTAATGTGCTGTCATTCAGATTCAAAAGCTAACCTGTCTTGTCCATCTCTATGACAGCAGACTTTTCCCTTCTTTTGTATGCCAGTTTACAACAGCTATAAACACTTGGTCAGACAACACATGATAGATTTAAAACATACCTTAGCCTTTAGCTAGCTCTGTCTTCTTCTGGTTGAATCTAGCCTGAAGTCCTGATGTAGGTTAAGGTATGGGCTGAAGTTCAGTTTATTAGTGTGAGCTGAGATACACTGGATAAAATTTCGGTTTAAGCATGTATAAGAGCTAAGAAAAGGATTAGGTGCTTATGAAATACTAGCAATTATTGAACGTCCTCATGTGCAAGGCAATAAGGTGTGCATGAGTATACCTGGAAGAGGGGGCCATGGCTCTGCAGCTGGGTGGGGCTCAGGGGGCCCAATGGGCTCAGGCTGGACCAAAGATGGATACTGGAGAGTAGAGGACTGGGAGTGAGCACCAGACCAGAAGGAGTCTACATAGACAAAACCCCAGAAGAAATGTTAGAGAATTAATACATCAATACAATATGGAAGTTATGGAGTTTATTCTAGCAAAAATTTTACAAAAGTTTGGCAAAGTTGTCACATCATTCAGTCAAAGCCAAGTCTGCCTTAACTCATGTCTACCAGACACACTGACTTGGCAGACTGACTCACTGTAGTTCAGGAAGCTTCATTTTTGTAGAATTCATTGCATCTATTTTCTTCAGTCCCGTTTTCATTCGGTCTCTATATATTTAACTAAGACCACTTTAGTTTTCTTTCTGATTCATGAAAACATAAGACTCTGTTCTACCACAACAGCCAGGAATGAAAAATTCTAAAATAAAAATTTCTAAAATGTGTTTGTATGTACTTTCTCACTATAGATGCAACTGCTGAGGGCACTGTGTTACTGTTTCAGTTTTTTAGATTAGATTAAACTTTATTGTCATTACACATGCACAAGTACAAGGCAACGAAATACAGTTTAGCATCTAACCAGAAGTGCAATAACAGCAGTGCAGAGCGCACAGTATCTACAGCAGGTACAGTCAGTACTAATTTACCAATAGATATGTACAATTGATATTTACATTAAGTTATACAAGGTAATATACAATATACAACAGACTTTATGGATTTAAATTACAAATAATGGATAAGGTACATTCAGCTATAAAACACTAGTGCAATGGGATGAAATTGAATGAAATAGTGCAGAATAAGAAGATAAATTACATTAATTAACAGTGCAATGGATGTAAATAGTGCAAAGATAAATACACCGTATCTGCATATGTACAGTACAGTGTACAAATAAATAACAGAGCAGTTTTTAACAATGGTGACCAGCATGCTATATGCTTATTTCAGCTAAAAGGCAAATAAACTTTTGTATTTTTTTTTCCATGGGCAGCCTGGGGGGGTTAAGGTCCTTACCATGAAACATCTCATCTCATCTCATCACCTTTATTTGGCCAAGTATGTTACACACAAGGTATTTGTTTCTGGTACAGAACCAAAGCAGCCATCTGCGGCGCCAACTCACACCGATGGCTCTAACCATCGGGAGCAACTTGGGGGTTCAGTGTCTTGCCCAAGGACACTTCGACATGTGGACTGCAGGGACTTTGATTCAAACCTCCAACCCTCTGCGTTTTGGTTATATTGGTGCTACAGATTATATCACGGTGCTACAGAGGGCATGTAACACAGACTTAAAGACTCCTTTTATCAACTGCAAACCCTTCTATGCTCCCCGTGAATTCTCAAGCTTCATCCTGGTTGGTGTCTATTTAAAACCGAACTCCCACACCAGCGCACTACAGCTCCTGGCCGAACTGATAACTAGCGTAGAAGTGGAACATCCTGACTCCCCACTCATTGTTCTAGGTGACTTTAACAGAGCAAATTTCACCCAAGAACTGCCCAAATACGAACAGCACGTCACCTGTCCCACCAGGGACAAAAATCACACTGGACCACTGCTACACAGCGATAAAAGACACCTATCGCTCTGTCCCCCGCACAGCCCTTGGACTCTCTGATTACTGTATGGTCCATTTTATCCTATCCTACAGGCAGAAACTTAAAGCTGTGAAGCCTGTGGTCAAAATAGTGAAGGACTGAGCGGGCTAAGTCAGAACTACAAGGCTGCTTAAACTGTATGGACTGGGATGTATTTGAGGCTGCAGCTACAGACCTGGATGAACTCACTGACATTGTGACATCCAACATCAGCTTTTGTGAGGATATGTGTGTGCCCACCAAGTCCTTCTTTATATACAACAACAACAAGCCCTGGTTCACAGCAAGATTCAAGCAGCTTCGTCATGCCAAAGAGGAGGCTTACAGAAGTGGGGACAGGATTCTGTACAGCCAGGCAAGGAACACACTGACAAGGGAGATCAGAGCAACAAAGAGGAGCTATCATCAGCATCAGCATCACTGGCTACAGGAAACCAGTCCCCCCTGGTGTGTGTGGGGCCCCCATCTTCACACTCATCTTCAACAGGTCACTGGAAATGTGTGAAGTCCCCTCCTGCTTCAAACACTCCACCATCATCCCAGTCCCCAAGAAAACCTCCATCAGTGGAATGAACAACTATAGACCTGTTGTCCTGACACATGTAGTTGTGAAGTCCTTTGAAAGACTGGCGTCGGCCCAATTGAAGGACATTGTTGACCCCCTGCTGGACCCCCCTGCAGTTTGCCTACCGGGCAAACAGGTCAGTGGATGATGCAGTCCACATGGCAGTGTGTTAAATCCTGCAACACCTCGACTCCCCAGAGACCTCTGCACGGGCCCTCTTTGTGGACTTCAGCTTGGCATTCAACACCATCATCCCGGACATCCTCCACTCCAAACTGACCCAGCTCACTGTGCCTGCCCCCACCTGTCAGTGGATCACTAGCTTCCTGACAGACAGGAGACAGCAGATGCGACTGGGGAAATCCACATCCAGCACCTGAACAATCAGCACAGGCACCGCCCAGGAATGTGTGCTCTCCCTTCTGCTGTTTTCACTCTACACCATTGACTGCATCTCAAAGAACCCTTCTGTCAAGCTCCTAAAGTTTGCAGATGATACAACGGTCATTGGTCTCATCTGAGACGGTGATGAGTCAGCCTACAGATGGGAGGTTGAGCAGCTAGTCCTGTGGTGTAGCCGCAACAACCTGTAGCTGAACACGCTCAAAACAGTGGAGATGACAGTGGACTTCAGGAAGAGCCCCCCCACCTTACCCCCGGCAGTGCTGTGTCAGCAGTAGAGTCCTACACGTTCTATTCCCCGTGTCCAGCACACCTGGCCAATAAGCTGATTCTAATATCTGTGTACTGGAAACAGGAAACTTGTGTGTAACATACTTGGCCAATAAAGGTGATTATCCTTATCTTTATTCTTAAAATACTAGCTTTGAGTACCAAAGACCAGCAACCATTGCAAACTGGTTTCAGGTGAGTTTTTAATCAAGTCATTGCAGGGACTATTTTGGCTATAATCTAAAGTGAAATGGGGAAAAGGCTTTTGTTGTTCCTGAATTCTGAAATGGTTCCTGTGGTTGAAAAGAGGTTGTAGATACTAAAACTAACAAAGTGCCAGTAAATCAGGAACTTCAGGATCACATCGCTTCATTTATAAATCTACTCCCTCCTTCTCTCTCTTGCCTCCTCCGTTCTTTCCACTTCCTCCCTGTCTACACGTCTGATTTTCATTATGCAGAATTTCTTCCCGTCCACCATTGTCTATAACTCTTCTTCTTTCCTCACCTTACCCACTGTATTTACAGAAGCACCAGTGTGTATACAGTGGTGTCCTGACATGTGTAAAGTGTGAGGGGGTACCTGTGCCATGACAAAGGCAGGGATTAGGGACCCTGAAGGCAGTGTTGGGCTGCTGGAAATGGAGACCAGGTTACTTCCTGTCAGGAGAAGGGAAGGGGTGGAGATTTCTAAGTCTTTGAGTTTCCTTGCCTTTGAAGACACACTATTGGCTAATCCTCTCCTCTCTGGTGTGGTGGTGCTCTGTGACCTCTCCCTCTCCTTCTCCTTCTGACCTGATGACAGGTTTAGAGGTTGAGCACTCTGCTCTAACTCATCAGTATTGGTGCTCTGACTCTGCCTCCTCCACTGTGTGTGGGTGGGGCTTTGTGGTGGGGAAGAGGAGCAGGAGGACGAACAGGCTTGCTGAGGAGATGGCCTGGAGGACTGAGAGGTGTCACTTGGAGATTGTGGGGGCATTGTGGGGAGGGAGGAATGGTCATGATTGGTTATGAATCGGATGACAGAGGAGCTCTCCTCCTGGTGATTGGATGTGGGATCTGTTTTGATTGGCCGGTGTGGTTCTAACGGATGCTGCAAAGAGCTGATGGTGAAGGAGGAATACAGACCAGAGTGGAGGTATTTGTTTTTTCCACCCCCATCCTCATCTTCAGCCTCGGGCTCTGATGTTGCGCTTCCACTTTCCTCACTGTTACAGCCTGACTCCACCACCGCTGGGTCTATCTTCAGACTCTCAGGGAACGACACGAACTTGTAGACAAACTTCTGGCCAATCACCTTCTTAATTATGTTCTGCAGGAAAAAGAAGATATCTTATTTTAACAGTTTTGGTATGATCATTCCAGTTGGGTTTCATGGCTTTATGGACATAAAACATCATCAAACCACTTCAAGAGGTTGGCATTGTAAGTATGTAGTTTTGAAATGTATGCATATGTTGTGTACTTTGTCATAGTAGTAACGCAGGGCTCTGCTCAGCTTGTCATAGTTCATGTTGGTCTTGTTCTTCCGTAGCCCCCACAGCTTGGCCACTTCCTCAGACTTGAGCAGTTTGAACTCGCCATCGTTGGATGTCCAGC